GACTGTCACTGTCCTCAAAAGGTCTTTGATACCTAAAAAGTAAAGGTGGTAAAAAATAGAGATTAAAAATCTCTTTTCTTCTCAGATATTGGAGGCAAATAAGGACATCCTAGGTTTGTAGTTTTTAAACCTACTTTACAAAATTGCTCATTGTTACAGCTACATTTTCCATTTAAATTTCAGTTGATCATTCAGTGGCCAGAATAATTGCAATTCATTATCTGAGGAATACATTTATGTGACTAATATATTGTCACCCTTCATGAAATACCACATACTAGAATTAATTAAAAGAATAACTTTTAAGACAAGACCTAAAGAGAAGTGGGGAAAGAAAGCACACGCTAATCTATTTTAGTAAGAAATTATTTTCTTCTTAAAAATCGCTCTGTGATGTCTATGTTGACTCATAATGTTTGTTTCAGTCGCTCGAATTAACAGTGCAAGGCAATGCCATAGTTGTGAGCAGCCTGTGCTCACACCCAGCAGTCGATGCTCCGGCTGGAGTAAGGGCTTGGGAACCAGCCCTGCCACTTTCTTTTCTTTCCCTGGGCTGGAGCTGCCTGGAGACAATCTGTCCAGTGCTGAGCCCCACAGAAAGCTGAGCTCTCCCTCTGCTTCCACAGGTAACTCGATCTCCTACCTCTACTTCGTATCCCTGCATTCAGACAACTCCCTAATCTCCCTCCCTCCCCCAACACAGTGTCTTCTCCGGTACTTTTGCATGGTAAGCACATTACCCTATATTCATAATATATTTTCTGAACAATCCCTCCAACACGTCCTCTTACCCAACCCTTGGGTCCCACCTAAAATCAGTGTCCCTGACTGCCTACGCACAGGCAAAATACACCCAAAAATACACACATCGAAATATACATGTTACATACAAAATACACATGTTAGTGATCTCTTAGCATGTAAATCCTTAAATGCACCAAGAATCCATGATCTATGTTCTTGACATATAAGGATGACATTTCTATTTTACACAGGACGTAGGGAGTCTTTGTAAAGTCCACAGCACAGTGTTTGGCACATACGGTGGTTATTGGGTATTTGCTGAAGGCAGGAAGAAAGGAACGGAGGGAAGGAGGGGGGGGAGGAAGCTGCAGACAGAGATGAAAACGTAGACAGGGAAAGCAGGGAAGCTAAATAAAAAGTGATGTATGTCCAAAAAGACCAACTTACCACATAAAGGTCCTCATGGAAATACAGTCCCACATCGTAAAAGTGTCCGTCATGCCTCACTGGGTGGGTTCTGGCCTTCGGTTGCTCTGTGTGCCATCGCTGCCAGACACGGCCGCCTGGCCGACTGAGCAGCGACACTCTGAGGCGGTAAGAGCCCTGGGGAGCCTTGTCCTTCAAGCCCCTTATGCATTTCATCTGTAGTTGAAGGGGCTGAGGAGACTGAGGCTGTCCAAGCTAAAGGAAGAGACGGGGCTCTTGAGTTACACAGGAACCGGGTAAAACCGCACACTTGGCCACAGTGCTCTTCTCAGAGGGGAAAAGTAGACAATTATTTTTACTCAACGTGTAATTGTAAGGTATTAGCAATGCTAACAGAGGAGTACACACGCTATATAATTAGAGGGTCAAAAGGCAAGCCTGCCAATTATGCGAGGGAAAGTTTAGCCAGTTTTTAAGCAAGGTATGTTAATGATCTGTGACATCAGAAACCATCGGGCTATTATAATAAGAAAGAATTAACAGGAAACCAACACTGCTGGAAACCACACAGCGCGCCTCAGATGTCTGGGATGGGTGGACAGGAGCAGTACCCTGCAGATTCCGAGTTCGAAAAGGGACAGCCCTTGCCTCTGCAACACCAGTCACGGACCAAATGCCACCATGAGGAGTAAGGCGCCAAGCAGGTCAGACTAACACCTCGCCAGATGGAATACTGTGATTTGATTTAAGTGGAGAGTCAAAAAAATAAAGTGGGTGCACAGCATTGGTATGTGCCTCAGCCTAAAACAGTCTAAGTTACATGGAACTGAAGAAAGTGACTCAATCAGATTTTACAGGCCATTTGAACTGCTTACCTCCACCAAGAGAAATAGGCCGTCTTCACTTTTAATAAGTGCTAAAAAGTTTATGCAAAGTGATAAGATTTTTAATGGACTATTGTTTCAGATTAAACAAAAATTAAACTGGGATCATTAATAACTCAAATGTCATTAAGTCATGTTTTCTGTACTCACAAGTCCCTAATAGTCTTCAGAATAATTTGACTTTGAAGAATTCTCTATTACATTGTGCTTTAAGCAAAAAAAAAAAAAATGTCATTTTTGGAAGCAGGTTACTCTCTTGGCTACCCGAGTTATAGCACCACTCATTAATCTACAGCCAGCAGTAAGCACCTTTTAATCCTGCCTACACTTTCCTTTGTGAAAGATAATATATATTTCCATATGGACGGTACACTTCTGGAATCAAATCACAGTTAAATAAACGGTGAAAGTTTTTCACCTTCTTTTGTTTTTTCATACAAGTCATACTTAAAAACTAATCAGAATAACAATTATTTTTGGTTTAATTAGAAAATCTTAATTAACAGAAAAGACTTAACCTTAACATTTTGGTTTCCAAAAATATTTTTAAAATTAGCACCATGTGAATAAATAAGACAATCTCTTTAAACCTCAAGGCAGGATTACTGATGCAGGCAGACTGAGCTATTAAACACATTCTAAATTAAACGCCTCTATGAATTTTATACTGAAATGTACTGTGATAGTTTTGCATGCCAAATGTGACATTTTGTATTTTAGATTCATCTTCTGTAGTAATTTTGGAAATGTCACACAAACAAAGATTTTGTCATTTACCAATGGAATTACTATGCATGGCCGCTGAGCCATCCCTTCGCTGGCTCTTGTGGTTGTTTCAAGTCAGCAAGCCATAAAAAATCTTTATCTCTCTGAAACACAGCAATTTGGAAGATAATCGGATAGTGACTAGGGGGCACGGCTGCCAGTCTGAGGAATTATACTACAATCTCTCTTGCATTTACAACCTTTCTCAAAGCGAGTGTCAGACAAGTAGGGAAAGGAGACGGGAGATTCATCAAATCTCAAGCCTCGTCTCATGGGCATGGCCTGCTCCCTGCCTAGTGAGAGCCCAGCCGAGGACAACGGACACAGTTCTGAGGAATTCCAATTGCTTCGAGAATTCTGCTCAAAAATACTGAAGATCTGCTAAAAGTCTGTTTCTCTAAAAGGCCCTACAGGAGGAAAAGCACAACAGGAAAGGAAGTCAATGAAACTGACATCGTTTCACAAGTTGCATCAGAGAAAAAGGAAGTCGGAGGGCCTCACCTTCCAGCAAGGCCCCGCCGCTCCCGGTGGCCCAGGAGCTCGGTCTCCGGTGCAGACAGTCAGCTCTGCGGCGAGCGGCGGACGTGGAGCTCTGGGAGACAGGAGCGCGAGGAATTAGCCAAGGGGTGTGATGAAGAGGCTCTTGCCTTTGCAACCACGGCACGGCTGGGTGTTTTCCTTAAGCATTTTGTCAGGTTCACCGGGAATTAGTCAAACACCGCCTTACAGTTGCTGCAGTTGATTAAAGTCGGGAGGTGAGGAGCTTTTGAAATGTGACCCAATAAAATATAGGACTCACTATATTAGCGACCGACCTCACAACAATTAAAATACAGCTTGTTTTGTAAATTAGCAGAAGACCAAATAGTTATTAAGACCTGCTGCCACTTCATTGTCTGCTGCACCCCTTCAATCTTATAAATTGATAGAGAAACCCTACGGGGGGGAATCGTTTAAATAGATGAATAGCTGATATGATGTAAACTTTTCCTTTTTTAAAGCAATGGCCAGATATCAAGATCTATTTCTATGTTTACAACGTTCCCTGGGCTTTTTTTTTTTTCTTTTCACTTTATTTAAGGTTCGTTTGCTTTTATTTTTGGTTTGTTTTTCAGCCTCACAAGACCTAAACACATTCACCTACTTTCCCAAATGCATTTGAATTAAGAAGGATCTTGCATTCCACTTCTCCTGACTTAAGCTTAATTCCAGAAGCAGGGCCATCTGTGACAATGACTATACCCCCACCAGAGGAATGGCCTTTTTGGATCTCACAGCTGATTTAGTTTCCTGTAATAGAAATGATTTCCCTTAATTTGGTTAGAGCTACATTGACACAAGGGTTCATTAGGACACCCATTTGCTAGCAATTCAATTTCAAATTAAATACACTTTGTTGTAAATTTTATTACTTTTAAACTACTGTATCTATTGTCTTTAATGGCTCTATTATACAGTTATGAAGGTAAACAGATTTCATTAGTAAACATAAACATGTTATGTTAACCATAGTGGGATGTTTTCCTCAGTTTCTTTCTTTGTTCCCTTGGCAAGAATTGTAAGGCATTCATGAAATATCCTAAAAACTTAATAATCAAATGCTGAATTTCTAATTATCATCCTAAGGGGGGAAGGGGGGAAACAAGGTACTCCGCTGCAATTCCAGTTCTCTGTAATTAAAGATTTCCTAAAAATACCTTCCTTAGTCAAAAGGAACACAGTGCTCATCAAAAGATTAATACACAGCTTTAACATGACAGCAGGTACCTAGAGATAACCCTATCTATCTGTGTCCCCTTGGAGCAGCCATTTCCTAAACCAAAACCAGACCAGACCTCACTCAGCTCACTATGGCATTAGGGCCTGTGGCACAGTATTATTCTTTTCCTTCCTCCCATAGAACATTTATATACTTAAACCTGTGTTTTCTACCTTCTATACTATGGGCATTTTCAATGAAATTAATTTTTTTTCTACAGCATTATTTTTAGTGATGACCTAGCACTTAATTCTAAAGTTATGCCACAACTTATTTTAAAAATCCCTTATTGTTGGAAATTTAGGTTAGTTCCATTTTTCACTGCTGTAAGTTAGCCTATAATTAGCTGTCTTGTATATAACATCTTGTAGACCTCCCTGGCCATTTTCCTGGTATAAAGTCCTATCATTAGAAATGCTGGGCAGGGGAGGCATGCTATTCTACACCTCACTGATCTCGACCCTGAGCATTAAAATGACACCTCAGCAATATATAATCCTGTCAGAATGGCCTATTCTCTTGGGCACTGAATAGTGTTCTCAGAGAGACAGGTCCCACTCCAGTTAATCCCTTATTTTCACTGCTAGTAGGATTATAGGTTAAGTAAAATGACGATGAATGGAGAGCAGTGATGGACAACAGACTTTCTCAGCCTCTGCACTATTTGCATTTGGAACCACAAATCTTTGTTGCAGGGGCTGGTCTGTGCTTTGCAGAATGTTCAGTAAGATCTCTGGCCTCTGCCCAAGAGATGCCATTAACAGACCCTCCCCAGTCTATCAGGATGCTCAGAATGTCTCCAGATATTGCCACATGTCCCCTAGGGGTAAAATTCATCCCTAATGAAATACCAATGGACAGTATTAACTAGTATTTATTGAGTGTTTAGCATGCTCAAGGCAAACTTTTTTTTTTTAGTATGTTTTTATTGATTTCAGAGAGAGGAAGGGAGAAGGAGAGAGAGATGGAAACTTCAATGATGAGAGAGAGTCATTGATTGGCTGCCTCCTGCAGGCCTCCTACTGGGGATAGAGCCTGCAACCCTGGCAGTGCCTTGACTGGGAATCCAACTGTGACCTCCTGGTTCACAGGTCTATGCTCAACCACTGAGCCAGGCTGGCTGGGCTCAAAGCAAACTTTTAAATACATTATATTATTTCATTTAACCCTTAAAATAATCCAACAAGTTATTATTATTCCTGCTTAACTGAAGAGAAATTGAGGCATGTTGAGCATCTTGTTCCAGTTCACATAGCCATAAAGGGTAAAGCCTGAGGTTCAGAGTGAGACCACCTAACTTGAGAATCCCTCTGAACCTTCACCCAACACTCCCAGCTATACTCCCATTAGTATAATGTCCCATCCCTAAACTGTCACATATGGATGAAGGGGCAGAAATAGATCCCAAGAGGAAATGAGATCATGGTTCCCACAAACCTGACCCTTCAGGTGAATAAAACTAGGGAGTGACTGTCACCTATAACTGGCCCATATTTAATCCATAGCAAAACAAACAAAATAAAATAAAATACATTAAATCTACCATTAAGGAACTTACTTCTCAAATGTTTTGTCAGTCTTTAAACATGACATGGGAATATATTGATTGAGTTCCTCCCCTTCAGATTTCAAATCCTGCATGAAAGAAAACACAAATAAAATAAACTTGATTCAAAACACACTTGAAACATCTTTGTAAAAGTTGGCTTTTCTAAAATCAGGATATACTGATTAAGGTTCTAGGAGACAAATGAGAACACAGGAATTATCTTTAGCAGCCACACAATTATAGAATCTCACTTCCTTCTCTCAGCTTAGTTACATTTTGGCCAGGTAAGTAGAGAAAATAGTAAAGGACATTTAANTATCTTTAGCAGCCACACAATTATAGAATCTCACTTCCTTCTCTCAGCTTAGTTACATTTTGGCCAGGTAAGTAGAGAAAATAGTAAACGACATTTAAAATGAAGGAGAAATATTTAGTGGATTCCAATAGAGCTTCTTTTTTCCCCCTCTTTCTCTCTCTATCACACACACACCACACAATGGTACAGTTTAACAAAAAGTAAATGGGCACGTGGCTGGGTGTATCTGATTCTAAAGATGTTAATAACACTTGTGATCATATATAATTTATCACCCAAACCAGGACATTTTGGGAGTAAAGGGGGAAATTTAATTATTCTAGGACAACAGGCATAACCCAGGACTATCCCATGCAAACTATAATGTATAGTAACCTAACACCTTGCTGACCGGTCACGAGTATACACATATTTGCATGTCCAAATGTTGCTGACCGGTCATGAGTTAATTCGTGTCTGCACTTACATTACTTTAAGTAATTTTAAACACCTTGCTGACCGGTCACGAGTATTCAGGTGTGGAAAAGTAGCCGGTTGCACAGGCGAATTCTGGCTCAAAATAGCCAGTCAACAAGGTTAATAATACTCCTCTAGATGCTCTAAAAGGGTATCATATAAGGAAATATCAGTGTATTTAGTGAAGGGGAATGAAAAAAGAATGAGAGAGAGAGAGAGAGTGAGAGAAAGAAGCTACAGTTCTTTATAACCTGAACTTGGAAATAACAGACCATCATTTCTGCTGTTTGAAACAGATCAACTGTGGTCCAGTGGGGGGGTGGGAACTACACAAAGGTTTGAATAACAGGAGGCCAGGATCATGGGTCCATAGCAATTATGAAATCCAGACGAGCAAATGTTGGCAGTTCCTTGATTAAGTCTCAAGGCCTGAGAATAATTCTCCACGGCTCTCTGCTCTGTCCTCTGGACTCTTGGCTCCACACTCTAAATCTTCCTTCCTTTTTCATGATAAGTAGCAAACATTTGCAGCTAAGTAGTTTTCTTAGTCTTCTTCTTGCCAGTAGAATTGGGAGCCCAAAGGTCTGTTTTCATTTTGTTCTTTCTCTGTCCCTTTTGGTCCAAGCAGATGATGTTTCCGCTTATGCCAACCCATTTAAAACCTTGTAGGTCTTCTTTCAATCTTATCCGAGTCCACTTCAATAGACAAAATCCAAGCCCACAAATCTCTTCCAGATAGGACCTTCTGTATCACTGGCAGGATGAGGGGGAATGACCTCAAGCCCCCTAGAAATCCTACTGTGAGGCACACTCTTAATCTCTTTAGCATGACTTTCGTCTGAGAGGATAGTATTCTGAAGCATTACCTTTGATATTTCTANTGGCAGGATGAGGGGGAATGACCTCAAGCCCCCTAGAAATCCTACTGTGATTCAGACGAACTGTGAGGCACACTCTTAATCTCTTTAGCATGACTTTCCTCTGAGAGGATAGTATTCTGAAGCACTACCTTTGATATTTCTGGAGCCTTAACAAAAGCTTTGACTGTCATACTCTTAGCTTCAACCTTGGACCATTTTCCTAGCATGTGATCTTTGCTCCAAAGCCATGTCTTCATTTTAGCACCATTTACCATCTTGGGAGGGTGAGAATTTTCAACACCAGCAAGTCATGACTCACTTTAATAGTCCTCCCTCTAATTTATCTTTCTCCCCTCATATTTCACAATAAGCAGTGAGAAGAAACCAGGGAGCATTCATAATCCTCTGGTTAGAAATCTTCTTAGCCAGATCACACAATGCATGAGGTACCTTTTCTACTTTCTGCGTAACTATAGGCAACAGTGTGGCTAAACTTTCTGACTCTCCCTAATAAAGATTTCCCTTCCTCTGATGTCTAATAAGATTTTCCACACTCTCCTGCAAGCCCTCACTTCACATCCTTCTCAAAGGAGGTCTCTAGTAACATCTTCAAGGTCCTTTAGCCTTCAGCAATGCTCTCCTCATAGCCTGCTTCACAGTGCCAAAGTCGCTCTCACATTTTATGTTTCATTGTGGCAACACTCCACTTCCAGGTAACAAAATCTGTATTAGTTATCTACTGCTCCAGAGCAAATTATCCCGAAACTTAACCAGCTTAGGACAGCAAATGTTTACAACCTCACACAATTTCTGAGGATCAAAGTCCCAGATGCGACTTAGCTGGGTTTTCCTGGCTCAGCATCTCCCCTGAAAAGCTGCAATCAAGTTGTCAGGTAGGACTGCAGTCACCTCAAGGATCAACTGAGGCTGGAGGATCTGTTTCCAAGTTCCATCACATATCTGTCGGAAGGCCTCGGTTACTCGCTAGCTGTTGGTTTCTCACCAGGGGGACCTCTTCATGGGCACCTCACACAGGGCAGCTTGCTTATCCCAGAGTGAGAGATGAAATACTTCAATAAGAAAGTCTTCACACACGTCCATGAAAAAATACAGAAAATCTAAAAGACTTTAACATATTGACATAGAGGAGAAAACTAGTCACAGTCATGTCAGCAATAGATGTCAGGTGATACAGGGTGTCCCCCCAAAAATGGATACACATGCTTTGAATAATGATAAAGGCAGTGTTTATTAAAATACATTTCATTTTCATTTAAGAGCCATCAGCTGTTAAAGTGTGTATACATTTGGGGGATACCCTGTGTCTTGTGCCTGGCTTGGCTAAATAAATTTCTTACTAAGACTCTGCCAAAAGGGCCTTTAAAATAGGTATGCGAGATCCAATAAAACGGTCTAATTCTATTCAGTAGATATTTACAAGTTTATTACATACTAATTAGAGTAAAATTTCATATTGTTGTGGTAGGCAGTTAGACATTCAGTAGCAAAGCAAGATCGATGGGCCAAGTACAGAAGGTCACCAGGGTGGAAAGCGACAAGTGCCTAGCAATGGGCAAAACTGGGAAAGCAAGGACCTCACCCCCTGGGTAACCTTTGCTCCCCTGGCATAGTGCTGGTCATGTGGTTTAGAGCCCCTGACCTTCCATATCGCTGGTCATGAGGTTTGGAGCCTCCCCTGACCTTTTCTCCCCTGGCATGTCACTAGTCATGTGGTAGACCCTCTTGCAGGAGGAACAAGGGCTGAAGAGTGGCTGCATGCACTCCCATGAAGGCCCTTGCACGACCACTCCCTTAAGCATTAACCCCCAGGGATAGCATCTAGGCCTCAGGTATGTTTCAGCTCCAGGCCCAGAAGCAGCAGAAGCAGACAAGGGATGCCATGGCTGATCTCAGGACCAGCTGCATTGGATAATGACCCCCTCCCCTGGCACCTGCCAACCAGTGGAAACCCTGACCCTGAAAGGACACATCTGGAAAGCTGATGAATATTCTATTGAGATCCTTCCCTGGCACCTCCCCTAAAATCCCCACCCTTAAAAGTCCTTGGGATAGAAGACCCAGTGCCTCTCCCTCTTGCGAGCACACCTCTGCCTTTCCTTCCCATCCCCTCTTCCCTCCCCCCACCAGGTGCATTACCTTTACCTTTCTCCCTTTCTCCTAAGCTCCAAGGGCTCTTCTTTTGCCTCCGTAACTTATTTCCTAAGTCCATTTCTTCTGTAGCTCACTTCTTCTACCTCTGTGACATTCTAAATAAGCTTTTACTTATGGTTCAAGTCTTGGCTTTGAATTCTTTCTTAGCCAGAACTCAAGTACCAAGGTTGCTGAACGGAAGTCTGACACCTGGTGCCATTCTCAGCACCAACAGTATCAAGACTAATCCAGATTTACTAAGCACTTACACCATACTAGGCATTATACTTCATTCATTCTCTCATTCTACAAGTTATTTATTGTGAGTTTTCTTTATTCCAGACACTGTGCCAGAAGCCAGGAAGCCAGCTATGCCTAATACTAAAAGCCTTCTCTCTGGTGGACATGATAAATAAAATAAACATGAGACATGAATAAATCAATGGCAAGTATGATAAACACAATGGAGGAAACAATCTAAGAAATACTGTAGAGAATAATTTTAGGGGACCAGTTTGTGGAGATGGTGGTAAGAGGAAGACAACGAATTTTAAAATGAGAGCTGAGGCCCGGCAAGGCGTGGCTCAGCGGTTGAGCATCAACCTAGGATCCAAGAGACCGGGGTTCAATTCCCGGTCAGGGCACAGGCCCGGGTTGTGGGCTGCAGCCCATCAATGACTCTCTCATCATTGATGTTTCTATCTCTCTCTCCCTCTCCTTTCCTCTCTCTGAAGTCAATAAAGATATATTTTTTAAAAAATAAAATAAAATAAAGTAAAATGAGAGCTGAGGAGAACAGTTTAGCCATGCAGAGAGTGGGAGAGATTGATTGTTCCAGGGTGAGAGCAGCATGTCCAAGGTCCTGAAGTAGGACAGTTTTGCATATTAAGAAGAGAAAAACCTGAAAGAAGATGAGTGTGACTTAAGTACTACCACCAGGGGAGAATATTGGGAAGTTGGGTTGGAAACAAAAGCAAGAGCCTGACCCCACTGGACCTGCAGGTATTATTAATAAATCTACATGTTATGTGCAATTGGGAAGCCCATAAAGGGCTTAAGAAAATTAGTGATATTGTCTCATTTACATATTACTGGTGATTTTGATAATATTAAATGCATGTTTATTTATTCCTCTCGCCTATAAATCATGTTCCTCAGAAAAATGCAGCTCTTATAGCTCCAGATGATCAGAGAGGGGACATTAGAGAGAAGTCACAACCAGAAAGAAAGAGGAAGTGGGGAACCGTCCCCCTTTTGTTCCCAGTGGATTGCAAATGAGAAGGTAAAAGGGAAGCAAGCAGTC